CATGCTAACTCTGTAGATAGCCATGCTAACTTTGTAGGGGCAGTGATAGCCATGCTAACTCTGTAGATAGCCATGCTAACTTTGTAGGGGCAGTGATAGCCATGCTAACTCTGTAGATAGCCATGCCAGTTCTCCTGGAAGGTGCCTTGGTCAAGGTCAATGACCGGGCTTACCAGACGTGCTATGAATGCTTCCGGGAAAAAAATTCCCCTATCCTCCTTTTTTTAATTTTTTTCCACAACTAGATTACTAGAGGGCATGAACCATCACCAATACCAGCTAATATGATACATGATTGCAACTCGTTCATGAAGACCTTGCTCCTTTACTGATCCGTGTTCCGCTTTAGCTCGCTAACTCTACTTCCTGTTTATTACAGTAGTAGTCATTCAAAATTACCCCACTTTCCTTGGCTGGTCCCCTACAATTCCTTTTCATTTGTACAAAAATATTCTTTCTGTCATGATTTGTGGACATTAAAATCTAAAGAGAAGAGTTATCTCCTCGTCAGACCCTGTAATTCAGAGAGGTGGAGTCAGAGTTAAAAAGATATGTAAGAGGGGGTCACTGCAGTGGCTGGGAGTTGGAGGGGGTTTTGCTGCCATTCGGCTGGCGTTTGACAGGGAACGGCCATTTTGAATGGCTGCTACTGTAGAGCCACGCTCAACATATAATGACATTACGCTGATTATTTGATCTATTGTATGGAAACATCTGTGATTTTCTTTGTTTTTTTTTATACATCATTAAAATTTTTATCCAAATTTGCCTGAGAATTGGCAGTAAAAACGACTAATGTCAATAACATTCACTCATTTTTTGGAAATCTGCTTGTTATTAAGTGTACTCCTCCCAGATGAGCCTAGGGTGTAGCGTGGGTTTTTGGACAAGCCCATCTAACTAGAACACGGTAGTTAGAACACTCCATACACTCTGCAACTTGTGAGAGAGCCACAGTCATGTACTATGACTATGAAAAATATTAATATATGCCAAAAATTCATCCTGATAATTTTATTTAATTTTAAGCAAAAAAATAAATTTCCACCAGGAGCAATCAGCAGACATGAACATTGCTGAATCACCATGAAATTATCAATATTTTCTGCAGCATATAGTATACAGTTTTTGATCGTGAACACCAATTGGTCATCTTCTGAACTTTTCCATCCCATGACTAAGAGGCTCCTGATAGCACTGGTAAGACCACCAACCTGCACCTGCTGTACGGCTTCAGTGAACATCAATCTACATGTTGCATTCAGAGAGCGACTCGCATAGGATCCATCCTGGCATCAAAATATTTTTAAACCTTTTCCACACTTGATCTACTGGCCTAGTAAACACCTAGGTCCTGTCACTACCCGATTCGTCCTGATAAACATCCCGGTGTCCAAAAATAATGTAATTATGGTAATAAAATTAGAAAACATTACTTATTTCTATCCTTAACAAACTTAATAAAGAAAAAAGAATACTAATACATATCTTTAAAAAAGGTTTTGTGAGACAATTTTGATGCTTTTTATATTTTCTCCATTAAAATGCTTCTGTGACGTCATCATGGGAAATGCTCATAGCAGTCCGGCAAAATATGATTAAACCACGTTGATCTGCATTTTAGCTGTTTCTTTCTTTAGATTATGGACAACATTGCATAATGTTAACACGAAAGGAAAACATAAAACTCAAAAAGACTAGATTTATATTTAACTTCGAAGCTGAAAAGTTAGCTCCTAGCTCCTAGGATCCCACTTCCGTGGCAGATCGGGCACAGAGTGATAAAACAGAAAGGATTTTAAGGCACTTATTTTCTGAGGAAATACATTATTAACCTTTATCACATTATATTTTAGTATATTTTGTATTTTGGGGAAGTCGTAGGGAAACAGCTGTTCAACCGTTGCATTTCCGGATTCTCCCTAGTGGTGCACGACTTTACACGAGTGAATAAAGTGAATGTGATTGGTAGATTATCAAGGGGGTGAGATTGTTGTGGCGGAAGGTTCACAAGCAAGTTTGATTGTGGCCGGTTTGTG